AGAATTATGGGATGTTTAGCGTCTAATTGAAGGGGGGCATTTTCAAGCCGTCCTCCTACACGTAGCAGGCCATTCATCAACCATGGGTCGAGTTTGGAGACTCTACTCGACTTCTCAATTTGACCTTTTCCTGTTCTGGCGAAGTCTCCTATTCTAACTCCAGAACCTGTGGCTTGTAGAATTGCAATCTCTTCTTCGAGGCTTTCTCTTTGCACATGTCTTAGGATCTCCCTTTCAGCCTTGTTCATTTCCTACAAGGAGAGAGGGTCTAATCTGGCTGCCTTATCGGGGAGCGTGGATTCTGATTTGCACTGTTGAACTGCTCTTCGTAAGTTAGTTCGGTAACGAAGAATCCAAGCCACAAACTTCTTTAAGTGGTACCACGAAGAAAAGCGTCCAAAGAGTATGTTGATTGTTGTAACTCCTACTTCTACGTTTGCCGAAAACACTTGTGATCCGGGTCGTTATCTGTGACTGTACAGTCTGTAAACTGTTGACTTGGCCAGAACCTTTCAGATTTCCTAAGGAAGTCTGGTCCTGTTGACCAACGTTCGCCCTTCAGCAAGGCTTCAGCCGAGAGGCCACGGGAAGCGTTGTCTGCTGGGTTTTGCTTTGTGCCAACGTGTTTCCACTGAGAAGAGGATGTAGCTTCTTGTATTGCTGCGACACGATTTGCCACGAAAGTATGAAACCGTTTGTCTTCACTGGCGATGTAGCCCAAAACACAGGTGCTGTCTGTCCAGAAGATAGACTCGCTGATCGGTATGCCGATTTCCTTTCTAACCATCTTATCCAACCGTGTTGCTGCCACGGCTGCTGAGAGCTTGAGGCAAGGAATTGTCAAATGCTTTAGCAGATATAAGCGAGATCTGCCAATGACGAAGGAACAGTGGACACCATCTTCAGGATTGGTGACACGGAGGTAAGTGACAGTGCCATATGCATGCCGGGAGGCATCTGCAAAATGGTGCAGCTGACTGGAGCAAACCTTTCCGAAGTCGTTTGGTTTAAAACAATGGTTGACCTTGAGGTTTTCAAGCTTGGGTAGCTCATCAAGTCAGTTCCTCCAGCGAGCAAGTTCCTTGGCTGCTATAGGGTCATCCCACCCCAGATTCTGGCGGCATAGGTCTTGCAGTAGCACCTTTGCTGGCAAGGTGAAAGGAGCTGCAAACCCTAACGAATCGTACATGGAACTGACCACGGATAGGATTCCTCGTCTTGTCGGGGGCCTGTCTTTCACGCTTATCTTGAAGCCAAAGGTATCAGACTCTACATTCCATCTTACTCCTAGGGTCTGCTCAATTGGCAGCTGATCGAGGAGAAGATCCTTCACAGATCCTGCCCTCTTGGACATTGGGATGAACTTGATGATGTTTTGCAAGTTAGAAATCCATTTAGTCAAACAGAATCCTCCTTTAGAGAGTAGTTGGCGGAGCTCATTCACCAATACAATGGCTTTATTTTCAGATGGGACTGACTTGAGGCAGTCATCGATGTAGAAGTTATTCTTGACACTGTCAACTGCATCCTTGCTGAATTCTTGTTGGCTGTCCTCTGCGGTTTGCCAATGACCGAAGTTTGCACAGCTTGGTGATGATGTAGCACCGAAGAGATGTACCATCATCTGATATTCTTCTGGCTCACTGTTCAAATCGTTATTTGACCACCAGAGAAACCGTAGGGCATCACAATCCCGAGGGCTGACATGTACCTGGTGGAACATCGACTCTACATCGGCCATGAGTGCAACAGGCTCCTGTCGAAAGCGTGTCAGGACACCAACCAAGTTGTTCGTTAGGTCAGGTCCCTGGAGGAGTTGGTCGTTCAGTGATGTTCCCTGGTGTTTTGCTGCGCAATCAAACACGACTCAGATTTTGTCTGGCTTGTTTGAATTAAGAACAGGGTGGTGAGGTAGATACCACAAAGCTCCGATAGGATGATCCAGCCAGTCCTGTGGTACCTTGCAGGCGTGGCCGTTCCTCACCAGGTCGTCCATGAACGAAGAATACTTTGAGAGAAGCTCTTGATCCTTTAACAATCTCTTTCATAACAGCTTTAAGCAGTGTTCCACTAATGGTTGGTTGTTTGGAAGGTAAGGCAGGGTGTTCCTCCAAGGTAAGACTATTTCGTAATGTCCTTCCTTAAGAGTTACGGACTGCTCCATGATGCTCAGAGCGCATAAGTCTTCCTTTGACATTCCTGGGTCATTGCTATAGGCTGAGTCGCTGAACTCCAGGTCGCAGAACTTCGCAAATTGTTGGCTAAGTTCGTTGTTGGCTTTGATGAAGTTCGCAGTGCGAAGATAATTTCCTTTCCGTTCCGAAGGACCGTTGATCGTCTACCCAAACATGGTTCACACTGCATATGGGCCTTGCTCTTTGCACCCTCTAATTTCTTTAGGCTCTAGGGCTTTCGGAACATCGTTTCCAATCAGCAGGCCAATGCAAGCGTCAATCTTGGGAAGCTGGATACCATTCAGGTGAGGGTACATGTTGACATCCTCTTGTCGTGGGATGCTTTCCTCACTAACCTGTAGTTTTGGGGTTGAGAAGACGGCAGGGAGCTCGACGTAATTGTGCACGTCCAAGTCGAGTACTTCCAGCTTGAAGACCCGGCATTCGGTCACGCTATTCTGCTTCTCCAAGGTAGTCAACGAGAGTGAAGTTTTCTCACCATTGACAGCTAGCTTTTCCATAAGTTGTTGGCTGCAGAACGTAGTGTTTGATCCCCCATCCAAGAAGGCATAAGTCAACACAGAGGCATCTGTACCACTGGCTTTAACCCTAACAGGAACAATGGGAGGACCAATTGTTGAGAGGCCGGCCCTGGTTAGACCACAACAACTATCGCTGTTTACGTAGCCGTTATTCGCATTGCCTTTGTTGTCTTCAGCTAGTCTTCCGTCGCCTTTCCTGTTCTCATTTGAAGGAGGGCTCCCAATGTTACGATCTGGTACCTTTGGATGCAGGAACGTCGAGTGCTTTGTATGGCAATTGGAGATCTTGCAGTAACTACTCTTTGGGCAGGATCGAACGGTGTGACCAGACAGAAAACAATTCTCACAAAGATCTTCCTTGCGCACAAAGGTAAGTCTCTGATCCACAGACTGTTTCTTGAACTCATGACAGCGAGTCAACCAGTGGTCGCCGTTGCATAAATGGCATTTAGGTGCAGGCTTTGCCAGATCAGCTCCCGCTGTAGAATTCCTATTACCATAGCGGACACTATTATTGGGTAGATCTCCCTGAATACCAAAGTTTTCGCCCTTTCGTGGCTTATAATTCTTGGGATCCTTTCCTTTGCTCTTTAGATCGCTGGTGACATTTCCAAATATCGGGTGATTCAAGACCCTGGCCTTCGACTCCACGAATCTCACGATGTCCTCGAACGTTATTTGTCTCTGCTTGTTATTGGTGATGTCATCAGCAACATCGCACCATCTTTGCCTTAGTTGAAAGGGAAGCCTTTCAATCACCCTCTGTAAGCTGTCTGGATTCTCGACCTTATTAAGGCAACCAATCTCCTTCAAGGTGTTCTTGCAGCTTCTGAGAAGGACGGAAAACTTCTGTAACGCCTGCCCGTCTTCGTGCGTTATTGGAGGCCCATTTGTAACTCGACTGACATAGGCGGTGGCGATTTTGTAATTCTGGCCATATCTTGCTTTGAAAAGCCGCTGTGCTTCCTGATAAACTTCTTCTGGTTGCATTGACAAACAGCTTCGCATGAACTCTTGCACGTCACCGGAAGTGTACTGCACGAGGTAGTATAGTCTTGTGCTGCTGTTTTTCGTCTTGGCTTCAATCAAATTTTCGAAGGAGCGGATGAAATTGCAATAGTTAACCGGATCTCCATCAAAGGTCTGAACTTCATTGTGGGGTAGAGTCAGCATTAAGGAGAGATGCTGATGTTGCCCTAGTAGCTGTTGCAACTGTTGATCACGGTATCGCTGCATGTGCATGAGTTGCTCATTGTGGCGTTGCTGCTGCCGCTGTATGTCTATCATATCCTGTATGAATTTCTCTCCAACTGCTGAATGGCTCGGGGATGGGCTTCGCTCTTGCTTGATTTCATTGGGATCCGGACAACGCTCACTGAGTCCGAGCTTTGGCAGATTTTCTGGGAGCCACGGGGTCGCGTGAGGTGAAAGGGGGTGAATCTTCCCATCGAGTTGAGTAACCACTGGATTTGCCTGATGGATTTCTCCAGGTAATTTCGCTGTTTGGGGCTTGTTTAACGAATGATCGTAGGAAGCTTGTGGGAGTTCTGACCGTGGATCATGCATGTCCCATGTTGGTGGTGAAGGGCAAGGTTCCTGCTTTTGTAAAGCCGGTAGGCGTGGCTGTCCATGGGGCGGAGAAGTTGTTAGGTCCTGGGTACAAGCATACGATGGCAGTTCAACGTACTGATCTCCTTGTTCCGCTATGGCATATACTTGTTCTTCGGCGTCTAACTCGGCGATCTGAATTTCAAGTTGAAGTTGCTGTTTTCGCTGTTCGAGGCGTAAGTTAGCTTCCTCTTGTTGCTGTTGGTATTTAAGCACTTCGTGCTTTAATCGTAATTCCTCTTCTTGCAGAGTTTGTTGCTTTCGTAGTGTTGCCGCTTCAGCAGCCAATGATGCCCTTTTTGCGTGACCCACAGTACGAGGACTTCGACCGATTTGATCATGTGCGAGATCTTGTTCCAGCGTTGCTTACGGAATCGTGTAGCTTTACGATTTCGCTATCCACATTCTCGCGAAGTTCTTTATTAGCTCGAGCGAACCACTCGTCGAGTGTTCTTTGAAAATTTTCTATTCTCCGAGCTTCGCTATCGAAGTAGTCATTTAAATCTTGGATCTCGAATTCGTCATCAAGGGAGGCGTGGTATGCGCTGTGAACGCCTCGGAAATGTGTTGCTGTTTCGAGAAACTCCTTTGCTTTTGACTCGACATCAGCGACGTCTCTGGAGTTAGACATGCATTCTGTAACTTCTTTTACTTTCTTCGTGACGTTTGCCTTTGCAACACTTCTATTTCTGCGAAGTTGTAGGGATTTTTCGTGACGAATTCCTTCGTTTTCCAGAGTCACGTTGGTCTCCTGTCGCGATCGCGCGTGGTCGAAAGGTCATCGCACGAACTCGTGGCCATAACTCTCTTTAGGCTGAGCCTTAGTGAAGTTGAAATGGATATCTTCGAACTAATGTAGACTCCAACCATGAGATGAGTTTAAAAAATACAATGTATTCCACATTCACAATCAATCAAGTAAATTGAAGGCATCCGATTACGTTGAAGACGAAGGTGAAAATGATGTAAATGATGTAGCGATGAGATGATGGTTCGACTAAAAAGAAAAATTACGACTACAAATTATAATAGTTCTAAGAAAATTGACAAACGAAATGAAAAAGAAAAAAGACTAACGACTTACAGATATTTCCTCCTATTGATGTGAACGGGTCGAGTAAAATTAACGATGATTTGAAAACAAGATCTTGCCGTGACGAAAGCCAACACTGAATATATGATAAACTGAAAAACGAGAACTTAAAGGCGTAATCAAAAGAGTCACATGAAGATT